GTGGCTTCTGTGCCAGCCATAGCCAGCAGAGCCCGGGTGGCATTGCTGCTACTAATTGCCACCCAGTCGGGCAGCAGAGAGGGCCTCTCCCACCCCTCCAGGTACAAATTATTCCTAGGGATGTGAAGTTGAGCAATTATGGGAAGAACCTCTGTGTAAAAGGTAAAATTGCTGAGAAATTTATGTACTACCTGCAGTTTTATTGATCTGTAGAGGGAGATAAGAGTCAATACAGAATCTCGGCTAACACTTACAGATACTTTTCTTTTTATTTATTTCTCATGCAGCTAAGAACAGGTATTTCTAAGGCCAACAGCCCCAGTGTGGCCCACAGTGAGATCTAACATTAGCTATTCTTAATGTCAGATTCTGCCCTAGAGGGAGAACGGAGGCAGTGTTTTTGAGTCAGGGATGTTCTGCTTCTTGGGGCCTGCCTATTGGGTATTTGTCCTATGAGTATCAGTCACCAAACTGGATGGCTGGCTGCATGAGGTGGGAGTGCATGAGGTGCTGCTGTCAGATACACTGGGATACCAGGCGTGAACCCAAACAAGACCTTTATTTATTTATTTAAGATTTTTGCCACAGGGTGTGTGCACTTGCTGGAGAGAGGGGAAAAATGAAATCACCCTCTCACCCCTGTAAGATGGCTGTGCCGCATTCCCTTCTTGGGATTTTTGGGCGTGTGCACACACATGCCTGGCATGTTCTTGAAGCTGCTGGGTTCGGGACTTGAACTACATGGTAGGCCATATGGGATCCAACGTCTTAACTACCACACCACCTGCTGACCCAGGTGTGTTGTTTTTTTTTTTTTTTAATGTTTATGTATAAAGGTCTGTTCCTTTTATTCCTGATAGTGCAGATGCACCCAGGTGAGAGAGAAGCACCCTTGACAGGGTCTCATCGTGCTGCGATTCTCCTTTCGCCAGCCCTCCAGCTTGGCAGGATCTTGGCCATGACATGTGCTCCCCGTGTTTCAAGTCGATCGGGCCGGGGATCTGAACCTGCGGTTGGCTGTGCAACCTCCAGCACTACCATTTGCTGCAGACTGTGCCATCAGCTTGGCCACAGTAGGGTTTTAAGTGACTTAAGAGCATGGGGTCTGATCCCGACACATCTCCTGGGTGACTTTGAGCAAATGATGCCACCTCTCTGAGCCTCAGTCTCCTTATCTGGTGTATGGAAACAGCCTGGCTCTGAGGTAGTGGTGACCTGTGACGTGATGTGAATGTGGAGAGGTGCAGTACCTAAGGGCTGTCGGTACATGGCTGTGGTATTAGTACTGTCACCAGTGGCACTCACTGAAAGAGGTCATTAGCGAGGGCGTTCGTTGACCGTGGCATCTGCGATCTGTGTGCTGACACAGCTGGAGTGGCCACTCCAGGAATGTGGCCCATTCTGAGTGGCAGTGAGAGCATGAAGCCCAAGTAAGGTGGCTACCTGCAGACCTAGGGGGTCCAAATGCCAGGCCCCTCGGAGCAGGGCAGAAATGGAATGTGTACCCGGTAGCTTGAGTTTGGGTTCTGGTGCCATACACCTTTGCAACTTCAGACAAGTCACTTTTCCTCATGGAGTCTCAGTTCCTAATCTGTCAAATGGAGTGTGACCCAAATGAGATTATTCATTGACTCTCCAGGTTCACAAGCAATAGCTGATGTCACTGTTGTCCCCAGTAGGTTACTCCATGAGTTTGAGGGGTTTCTGTCCTTAACCTCCCAATCTGCCTAAACGTTGCACCTTGCCCAGTAATCTTTCAGTGGCAGGAATTACTACTTTAACTGCTCAGGTTGAAGAGCACAAATCCCAGGTCCCTAGGCCTCAAGGTCAGGCGGAACCGGGCTGGGTGCAGAGGTGAACCCAAAGGGGACCAGGGCAGTGGCCTGAACTCTGCTGATTGCCCCTGGCCGAAGCCATTAGATGGGAGGAGGTGGGTATTATAAGGGCAGAACTAGCGGCTGCCGGGTCTGTTCTCTCCTTATAGCCCTGGTTTCAATTGGTTTTCCTCCTTGTCCTCTTTTCCTCTCAGGATGATGCCAAGGTCTTAGAGCAGCCAGTGGTTGTGCAGAGTGTGGGCACAGATGGACGCGTCTTCCAATTCCTGGTGTTACAGCTGAACACCACAGACCTGGCCTCTAGTGAAGGCATCAAGAACTTGGTCTGGGTGGACTCCGACCAGCTCCTCTATCAGCATTTTTGGTGTCGTCCAGTGATCAAAAAGAAGGTGGTCGTGGTAAGTCCAGCCGTCTCCTGCCTGGTGATTGGAGCAGGGCCGTGACTTGTCCTACCTGGAGTGAGGCTGGGCTGGTGTTGGAGGGAGGCTCTGTGAGCAGAGTCCTGGCTCTAGGGACCCCGCTGGAGGGCCACTTCAGTCCCACCCAGCACCCAGAACTCCTCCACTGTGGGCCCCCATCCCACTCTCCCTTCAGCTCCCGTTTCCCTCTGCACCCACCTCCAGTCACACCCAGCTCCCCCAGTGCCCCGTATGCTCTGCTGCTCAGCTCAAACTTGTAGATGCCTCATCTTCGGTATAAAGGGCCTCTCTTCTCCCTCTCCCTCCCCCATTTCTCTTCTGCCTGGCCATCACCCACTTGTCCTTCTGAGTCTAGCATAAGCCTTTCTTCTCTGGGAAACCCTCCCTGATTGCCACTGTCCCCACCCCAGCCTCACTCATGTGCCTCAGTGGGCTCCACCTGCCCCTGCACCCGCTCACTGCCCGATCACGCTGTGCTGAAGTCTGCCGTTCACACAGCTCCTCGGGCAGGGCCTGAGGATCACGCAGCCGCTGGTTTCATTCCACACGTAGGGAACGCCTCCCCTGGCACTGGCACTGTCACTGCTGCAGCTGGTGCTCCCTGTGACAGTCCAGGCCTGCTCTCCAAGCAGTGACAGCACTCGGATGAACTCACGACAGAGGCGCCAGTGAAAGCACTGAGGAGAGGCCGAGCTGGGTGGGCCTGAGAGAGGGGTCGGGCTGCGGTGGGGTCTGTGACTGCCTGTGCCTGGGTTTGCCGAAGGAGTCGCCGAGACTGAATGTGTCAACACATCGTTCTTCACCAGGCGCCCCGGCCCTGTCGGCGTTGTCTCTGCCCTTGCCCTTGCCCCAGGCCCCTGGTCTCCCTGCACGGTCACACTCCCTCCTCCGGTCTCTGCTCTCAGCCGTGCTCTCCCTTCGCCACGGTATGACCTTGGATTCACGTGTTCGTCTCTGAGTTAGGGCTTCGTGTCTTCAGGTCCTCTTCAGCCTTCTCTTAGGGAGTGCTGATGTGGTGCTGTCCCGCGGGTTTGGTCAGATGGCATCTGCCCCCTCCCCCCTCCTCCCCTGCCTTCCCGTGTGCCCTGTGCTGGCGCACGCTGGTCTCAGAAACGCCTGCCTTTTCTTCGTCTCTCCGGCCCACTCTCCTTGCCCTTCCACGTGTGAGAGTTGATGGGTTAGTCTTCTTTTCTCTTTCTCTGCATCTTTTTTCTACATCTAAGTGGGGTTTATCACCTTTATCACCACCTGGTTAAGCTTCTTGAGGACCAGATTCAAGTCACCGCTGGGCCTCCTGCATAGGCCACGTACTGAGAGCGGGTGCCACGGAAATGTGGGTGGGATGAGTGAGAGGGTCTTAGAGTTTTAGGTGGAAAAGGACCACAGACCATTGGTTTTGGCGGTTGAAGTACGAGGGACTCCAGAGAGCACGGACGGCAGTGTCAGCAGCTGATGCGGCTGCTAGGCGCTAGGCTCGCTTCCTGCCCCTGACCACAGCCCCTCAGGCCTCTGTTCAGAGCCAACGCCTCGGTTCCCTGTCTCAGACCAGGAGAGAAGTGATTTCAGGGAAGGAAACAGTTATTATCCAGCCACTTAAGATTTACATAAAACTGACCTTTGTTTTAATTGCTGCCATTAAACTCAGTAGCAGGATCCTAATGGGCTGTGTTCTTTCCAGGAACCTGTTGGGCCGACTGGTTTCCAGCCAGAAACGTTCCGGAAGTTTTTAGCTCTGTATTTGCACGGTGCCGTGTGAGCTGAGGACTTGTCTGAGGCCGGAACTCCTTTGGCCCTTCTCTCTCTGAAGAGCCTGTGCCCCGAGTGGTGCCCAGGGCCGCCCGGAGCCTCTGCTCGCTTGGTGGTTTGGTGGTCTTGACGACAATAAAGAGCCCTTGCATTGCATGGGAGCCTGTGCTTGGGGGAGGGCAGTGTCGGGGGGCTCTTGTGGGGCCTTGCCTTGAAGCTCTGCCCTCCACGATATGACCCTGGATTCATGTATTCATCTCCAAGTTATGGTTTCCTTGTCTGAAAATTGGGGCGTACATGACCCACCTTGTTTTGAAGCGTGTAGACTACATGGCTGCCACATGGCAGGTGCTCTGTGATGTGCTAGGTCCTTAGGGGATTATTTAAACTGGACACATTCCACAATGAGTACAGAAAATCTGAATAGAATATTCTTTGTAGCGGGACTATCAGTTAGTGTAATGGCTATGTCGCTGGACTCCCATGTAGCTGACTGCTGTTCGAGTTCCGGACCTGACAGCTTAAACTCACGCCAGGCACATGTGCGTGCGTGCCCAAGATCTTGAGAGGAGAATGGAGAAGGGATTGCGGTGTGGTCATCCCCCCTGGGGGGTGATTTCTCGCTTTCTGTCTCTATCTTTCCGGTGAGCGCACACGCCCTATAACAAAAAATACCTCTAAAAAAAAAAAAGAATATTCTTTGTAGATTTCTCACTTGATCCTGGTTTCGTGGGCCAGGTGAACCCCTGGTTCAGCCAACCTCTGTTTAAATCACATCAGTTCTCTGCCGAACACTGCCACGTGGCCTTCACAGCTTCCTGTGTGACCCGCACACAGCCCTTTCAGGGTTGGTGTGAGGTGCGTGTCATTGCCATATGCAAGAACAGTGCTGAGTGCCTGTGAGATGCCGTGCCCAGTGCTGGCCCCTAATGATCTGTGAGAAAAACCAGGTCATTTAAGGACTCTGCCTAGGGCACAGCTGGTGTGAAGGCCAGCTTCCCTAGGAAACACGTGGAGATGGAGACACATGGAGAGAACCGTGAGGACCCACACGGGGGACGGTGTCAGCTCAGTGTGGTCACACCCGAGGCCCTGGTAGTCCGTGCATTCTTCCGCAGAGCTGTCCCTCCCAAGGTTCGCACCAGGTGCTGGGTCAGTGCTAGCTGGACTCCCATGTAGCTGACTGCTGTTCGAGTTCCGGACCTGACAGCTTAAACTCACGCCAGGCACATGTGCGTGCGTGCCCAAGATCTTGAGAGGAGAATGGAGAAGGGATTGCGGTGTGGTCATCCCCCCTGGGGGGTGATTTCTCGCTTTCTGTCTCTATCTTTCCGGTGAGCGCACACGCCCTATAACAAAAAATACCTCTAAAAAAAAAAAAGAATATTCTTTGTAGATTTCTCACTTGATCCTGGTTTCGTGGGCCAGGTGAACCCCTGGTTCAGCCAACCTCTGTTTAAATCACATCAGTTCTCTGCCGAACACTGCCACGTGGCCTTCACAGCTTCCTGTGTGACCCGCACACAGCCCTTTCAGGGTTGGTGTGAGGTGCGTGTCATTGCCATATGCAAGAACAGTGCTGAGTGCCTGTGAGATGCCGTGCCCAGTGCTGGCCCCTAATGATCTGTGAGAAAAACCAGGTCATTTAAGGACTCTGCCTAGGGCACAGCTGGTGTGAAGGCCAGCTTCCCTAGGAAACACGTGGAGATGGAGACACATGGAGAGAACCGTGAGGACCCACACGGGGGACGGTGTCAGCTCAGTGTGGTCACACCCGAGGCCCTGGTAGTCCGTGCATTCTTCCGCAGAGCTGTCCCTCCCAAGGTTCGCACCAGGTGCTGGGTCAGTGCTACGCACGGCTGGGGAGACCTCGAGTGAGGCTCTCTGTTGCGCTGGGAGCAGTTCCCCGAGGGACCTCTGAGAGCAAGCTGCAGGGGCACTGCAGCGTCCGAACACTGACGATCCGAGAGTGCCTGTAGCACCCACAGCTCAGAAACAGCCATGCTTGGTCCAGCCTGGGCTTCCGATGCCCCAGCCAGTGCCTTTCCACGTTACAGCTTCCCCGTCAGACTGGGCAGAGCATGTGCATGTGGAGGGTGGCAGGAGGGAGCACCAGGCAAAGCAGCAGTGGGAGCACAGAGGCATGAAGGGTCTTGGCGAGCCCCACAGTGACTACAAACAGGAACAGGGAGAATGGGGCGTGGGGGCTGTAGTGGCCAGCTCAGGAGGGGCCTGAACACCCAGCACCTCAGGCTGCCCATCGAGGTGATCTGGGCTGGGGGATTCAGTGAGCCCTACAGCCATTTAACTTTTTATATTAAAAATAAGTGTGTGTGTGTGGGGGGGACCAGCAGTTAGCGTAATGGCTATCTCGCTGGACTCCCACGTAGTCAACCGCGGTTGGAGTCCCAAGAGGAGAAAGGAGGAGAAGGGATTGTGGCGTGGCCATCCCCTCTGGGGGGTGATTTCTCGCTTTCTGTCTTTGTCTCTCTGTCTGGCGAGTGCACACGCCCTATAGCAAAAAAAAAAAAAAAAAAACACTCAAAAATAAGTGGGGGGAGGGGGCAGGTGGATGGCAAGTGGCATGATGGTTAAGGGCACCAGACTCCTACATGGCCAACCACAGTTTGAGTACCGGACCTGGCGGCTTGCTTTCTCACTTTCCATCTCACTCACTCTGTCCCTCTCTGGTCAAATTAAACTAACTAAATAAAGTTAAAATAATTCTTTTAAAAAAATAAAAATAAACAGAGGGACCAGCAGGTGGCATAGTGGTCGAGATGCTGGTCCCACATGGTTGACCACAGTTCAAGTCCTGGATCCGGCAGCTAGAAACCAGGTGTGTGTGCGTGCATGCCTAAAACCCTGAAAAGAAACTGGAGGAGGAAAAGGGGTTGCAGTGTGGTCATGCCCTGCGGGGTGTTGGGGGGCATGATTTCTCACTTGCTGTCTCTCTGTCCAGCGAGCACATGTGCCTTTATAGAAAAATTTATCTAAACAAACAAACAAACAAAAAACCTAAAAGACTAAACAAAACTTATATGTAAATGGTGAAATTTCAAAGAGTAGAAAAGTTAAAATTTAAGTTACTCAATAGACACAGGCTAGAGTTTATGTGCTGTTTGTGAAGAGCATATGTGTAATAAGAATGCATACAGGCCAGCCAGGTGACTGGTTAAGGCAGCTGGAACCCATGTGGCCCACTGTCTGGTTCGAGTCCCTCACCCAGCGACTTGAGAGACCTACTGGGCATGCCTAAAGGTGTGCTTGCATGTCCAGAGTCCTAAGAGAATGGAGAAGGATTACAGCGTGGCCATCCTCCCTCGGGGGTGCTTTCTCACCACCACCCACCCCAGTGAACGCACATGCCCTAGAGCAAACTATATAAAGAAAGCATGAATGTGTGTTCTTAGAGGCATCCTATGAATAGCCCCCTCCACTTCCTGTTCCACCTACTCTCGGGATCGCTGACCAGGCCACGTCAGCACATATGCCCTGCCTTGTTCTTTGGCGCAGCTGTGTTAATATCTGTTGACGGACGTTCCGGTTGTTTCCGGTTGTTCGTTATTACCAATAATGCTGCAGTGAGCATCCCGGCTTGTGTATCTGAGTACTTTTGCCAGCCTAGCCGTTGGTTAAATTCCTAGCAGTGGAATTGCTGAGTCAAAGGGATTTTTTTTAAAACGCCCTGGTGGGAGTGCAGAGAGCTGGCAGGACGGTGGTATGGAGTCCAGCAGGAGGCTGTTGGGGGATTCCTCAAGGGCCAGTGATCACTTGCCATCTGAACAGGCCATCTCCTGGAGACGGGTTGCGTGGGTATGAGGGAATAAAGTGAACTTGGACCCTGAGCAAGTTGGACAGGGTTGTCAGTAAGTGGACCATCCTCAGACGACCTTGTAGCAGCTGAAGGACTGGCCTGGAAGGGCGCCAGTGTTGCAGGGTGGGCTGGGCAGCCTGGCCACCTCCCAACCCACCCTGGGTGAGCACAGCCCTGCCAAGCTGTGGGGCCCGGAGCCCACTGCACTCTCCCTTCAAGTGGGTTGTAAAGCACAGCTGATCTGTACGGTGAGGTCAGCAGGACTGCTGGGGTTTTTTGTTTGTTTTTTAACTTTTGCTGTAGGGCACATGTGCTTGCCAGAGAGACAGATAAGGAGAAATCACGCCCCCAGAGGAGGCATGGCCACACTGCAATCCCTTCTCCATTCTCCCCTCGAATTTTAGGCAGGCATGTACATGCACCCGGTGTGAGTTTTTTAAGCCACCAGTTCCGGGACTTGAACCGTAATCGACTATGGGAGTCTGGTGATGTAACCATTACGCCATCTGCTGGTCTCAGGATGGCTGGTTTTATCCTCATACAGGTGAGAAAACTGAGGCTTAGAGGATAGTGTGACGAGCTAGAACGTTCATTTGTGGTGACAGCTGTCTCCCCACAGAGGTGTACTCCTCCAAATCCCAAATGCCCACCTCCCTCATCGCTCCCAGCTTACATTCCTTTCCTCATTAAATGCAGGGCGATGTGAAGGCTCCATCTGCTTAAAGCCTGAGGACAGACCTCCCAGCTAGCCAGTGAGTGGGGAAGGAAGCAGAAACTGGGGAGAGGACTAGAATACGAGGTCACATATGGTTTCAGAATCCCACTGTAGGAATTTCCAAGCAATAGACTTTCTTTTGATTGCCAGAGGTGTGTGCACTTAGAAAGAAAGGGGAAAGCACCCTTCAATGGGATGTGGTCATGCTGCAGCCCCTTCATTTCTCCATCCCAGTGAGATGAGGCACGCGCGTGCTCCCTGTGTGCTTTTCAAGCCACAGTGCCCATGTGGGATCCCGCTCCCTTAATCACTAGGCTATGTGGCTGGCCCCCGAGCAACAGACCTTTGGAACCAGAACGCTGACATTGCCAGTGTGAGCGTACGCATGAACGCATGTCTCATTGTGGCATGTATTTAAGTATCTCGTTGACTCACTGAGGTTTCCTCAGTCCATTCCCAGCAGACCTCAGTGGCAAGGGACTGGAGTCGGGGCGAAGCCATTTCTAAGAGCCCCCTCTATTCCAACTGTCCTTTCAGATCCTCAGCTTCCTCATCTGCAAGATGGCAATACGGGGCCTAGCCACAGAAGCAGCTGCTAGACGCTGGATGCCTGGCAGGCTGAGGCCGCAGACAGGCCGGCGTTCAATTCCTGGCCCACCCTGAGAAGCCAGGCTCTGTGGCGGGCACCAGGAGTTCAGATACTCTGAGGGCTGAGGTCGGAGGATCATGACACAGCAAGAGAGACCGTCTTTTTAAATAGAAATGCCCTCCAACACACACAGCAATAAAGCACCTCCCTTCCAGCCTGCCCCACCCTGCATTTGACCAGGAGGTTTCAAGTTGATGGGTTTGAGGACTTCGGAAGCCCCATGAAAGGGTGGTGAGGGGCTTGCCTCGGGCTGCTCTCGGTCCTCTCCCCAGGCTGGCTCAGCTGGATCCAGAGCAGGTGCTTAACAAGAGGTCCTGTGACAGTCCTCAACTGGGGGCCTGGGGAAGGAGGACAGGGTTGCCTCAGGCCACAGCATCTCCCCGGGTCCTCTGCAGTGGGTACGAGTGCATACACCGTGTGTGTGACCCTCGTGTCTCAGACCCGAAATGTGGGCGCTCCGATCATTACCCACAAGGCTTACCTGCTTGATTCCTAGAAAACCACCCTGGACCAGGCCCCTCTCCCGGATAGGTCTGGGGTGCTCCAGAGGCGTGCCCTTGTTCCCGTCAGCCCTAGTGGTCACCTCGCATGACAAGCCCCTAGCCTTCGGCTCACTGTCCTAGTGTTCGCGGAGCACCTGCCAGCATCAGCTGAGATGCGAGGCGCTGGGGGTAGCAAACAAGGCACCCGGAGGTCACAGAGGGTGGGTTCAGCTCTGGCTCTGCCCTGAGAAGAGCTTTTTTCATCTTGCCCTCTGCCACTGACCTGGGATCCCAGCACGTGTTCCCACCTGTCCTCCCCTAGCTGGTCCCACACGCCCAGTGGTCGGGGAGCTCACTGCCTCTTGAGCTCTCCCTATTGCGCTCTGATTTTAGTTTTCACTGTAGGGCAAGCACACTTGCTAGAGATGGGGGCAGGGGGATGGCTGGCCTTGCCGCAATCCCGTTCCCTCCATTCTGCTCTCAGGAGCTTGGACACGCTTGCACACGCTCCCAGCATGATTCTCGAGGCACTGGGTTTAGGACTCAAACCTTACAGCTGGCCACGTGGGTTCCAGCGCCTTAACCACCACGCCACCTGCTGGCCCCAGTACAGCCCCTTTCATTCCTTGGCTGCTCTGGTTGGGAAGTGTTTTTGATCTCAGCAGAAATGTCTTCCTGCAGCTTCAACTCAAGGGACCCAGCTTGGGGGCCACACCGCATTTTATCAGTCCCTGCATGTGCCAGGCCTTGTGCAGGGAGCGCCAGACTGGATGAGGGAACATGCTCCCTGCCCCAGGGGCCCCCGTCTGCCGGCTGGACTCTGACAGCCATTCACCTCCTTTGTAGTAGCAGGTGCCCATAAAGACCACCCCTTTTTATACCTGAGTCCCCACCTACAGGTGAGGGGTGCCACTGAGCACACTGAGGGCTGACTGTGCCATAGCATGTTACTCCATGAATACTCAACCAAGCACCTGGGTAACAGGCCCTGTGCTCGGTGATTCTGGGGACAAAATGACCCATATAGTCCCTGACTTAGAGGAGGCATGGCCCATGGGGCAAGTGGGAGGTACCTCAGCCTGGTGGCTTCCTGAAAGGGCCATGTGAGCTGCTTCTTCAGGGCAAGTAGGAGAGTGTGCCGAGGGAGGCAGCAAGAACGGAGGCCATAGCAGAAACCTGCAGCCTTTTGCGTAGTGGGAGCAAGCCCTACTGAGCGGCAGGGGGGAGGGGGGGAAGCGGGACAGGCCTTCAGGGGCTGAGAGAGGTGGGCATGGACTTGGTCCCAGGGCCCCTGAGCTTCCGCCTAGGCCCCTGGCATGTGAGGCAGGCTCCTCTCTGTGCTTCTCTCCGCTGACCCGAGGCACCACCCATCTCTCTGCCTCCTTTGCTGGTCCTTCCTGTTTCCCAGATCTCTGATGGCAGACAGCCCTGGGGCCCAGTCTTGGGGCCCCTCCTCCATACAATCGCTAGATCTCAGCCAGTCTCCTGTCTGTAAAAACCATCCAAATGCCAACAACCTCCAAGTCTCTCCAGCCCAGACCTGCCTGCTTGGCATCTTCACTGGGTCTCTCATCAGCAGCTCAAATGTTACTTGCCAAAACAGGGATCTCCCCGCACCCTGCCCCACCTCTGTGAAGGGCATGGCCATCCTCCTGGGTCCGTTTTGTTGACTACTGCATGCTGGGTGCTAGAAGTCTGGCACATGAAAGGGGGCTCCACAAACCCAGCGATGAAGGAAGTGTTTTAGAGGCTCAGAAGGGAGGTCTATGTGGCCTTGAAGAGCTATGATGGGGCAGGAAGGATGAATGGATGTTCAGATTCCAGATGACTGGGACCAGGGCACCACGGCAGCAGAGCATGAACAGGACACACTGGCCCAGGATGCACTGGGCCCTTGGCCTTCAAGCACCCACCCTACTTTCAATCTCAGCCCTGGGGCTAAGCTCCTATGACCTCTGTCCAAAGAGCTCAGAGCTGGGCAGAGCAGGCACCTGACTCTAGCCTTCCCCCGGCCATATCCAAGTCTAGGGGTGTCTGGTTCTGCAGACCGGGCCTGAGGCCCAGCACGCCCAGAGCCACTCTCCCCAAGGCCAGCACCTTTGCAGAGCCAGTGTTCTCTGGGTCTGCAGAATCTCAGAGCACAGCCCACCACACTCCATGGAACTGCAGAGGCTGGGGCGAGGGCTTCCTCAGGGTCACTGGTGAGTTGGGCTGAGTGGCTACAGCCCTGCCTGCAGTCCTGCTCTGGCCCCAGCCTTGGTGGCAGCTGACTCCCTCAAGCAGGCAGGCCGCTGTCAGTGCCAGCTGTTTTGCTTGGAGGCTCTTTTCTGGCTCCAGGGGAGGGAGCCTAGCAGGGAGTGGGAGGGGTGCAGGTCTCAGGCCAGGCCTGCCGTCCCGTAGGCCTGGCCCTGCACCCGAGGCTGGACAATCCCTTGGAACTGGGTGCCTGGGACAGTGACTAGCTGGGGCCCTGGCTCCTTTATCCCTCGGCTCGGCCCCTCCACTCTCCTTCCAGTTTCATTAAGTTGGAGGCCTGCTCTGTGGACAGACATGACACCTCCCTTCTCCTGTCCTTGACTTCTGGATCCCTCTGCTGGCCTGGTGCCTGGAGCTGCTTCTCAGGCCTGGGCCGGGCAGGGCGGTGAAAACACTTTTGGGGATGAGTCTTCCCCAAAGATCAGTTCCTGGGGAAGGCCAACCTGAACCAGTCATGACCGGGGCCAGGTGGTGGGAAGAGCCCTCTGCTGCCAGCCCAAGCAGAGGTAGGCAGTGGGTGCATGGCAGGTGCTTACAGGCTGGGTCCTTTACCAGGGTCCCTTAGCTGGCTTCCCCTCCAGCATTGCTCCTGCTCCGAGCACAGGTCGAATGGTGTCCCATGCCCCGGTCCCTGCCTCTACCAGCACTGCGTCAGTGTGGCTACCTCCTGTGCTGTCAACATGGGCCGGCCACAGCCCAAGTCTCGTCTGCCCGGCGGGGTTTTTCCAACAGTTCAAGGTGTCTACACTGATGAAAAGTCTAGAAAGCCCGTTCCAAGGAGAGCAAAGGCCCAGAGGGAACCTTTGTCATCTCCGCTACTCCCACAGCAAGGGAGTGCCCTTGGGGACTAGTCCCCAGGTTAGCAGCAACTGTCCCACTAGCACCTGCCATCCTTCCGGTGCCTCAGCGTGCGCGTACCCTCATGAGGTAGGGCAGCCACTGCCCCTTGTTTTATACGTGAGGAAACTGACAAGAGAAGCCTGTTGGCCATACAGCAAGTGATGGCCACTGCAAGATCTGAACCCAGCAACCTGCAATCAGGTCCTCTGAGACGCTTGGGAAGCATGGGCCAAACCCACACTTTGCCTGAGCAACGTCAGCTGCTCACCTCGCCCCAGACCTCAGTATTTCTTGCTGAGAAGTCAGCTGGGAAAATGGCTACCCTTACAGGCCTCCTGATGGCCTTCAGGACGCAGCCCCACCTGCTAACACTCAAGTCAGACTGTGCTACTCTCAAAATCCTTCAAGAGACGCAGCCTGCTGCTGCGGTTGGCAGCCAATTAAACGGCTGTGCTGGAAGCCACATGGCAGACCTTGGGTTCAGGTCCCTGGGCTGGCCTGAGAATACGCCAGGTGCACATGTGTGGGCACCCAGGATCCTAGGAGCTGAAGGGCTAGAGAAAGATCTCACTGTGACAAGGCCTTGCTGAGGGAGCTCTCTCTCATGCATGGACATACACGAACAGGAATACATTATAAATATACCAAAAAAAGTAAACATCCTTGAGCCAGCCAATAGCACGGTGGTTAAGGCAGCTGGGTCCCACATGGCCTACTGCAGAGCTGGAGTCCTGAATCCAGAGGCTTGAAAAACATCCCAGGCATGTGTGCTTGTGTGCCCCAAATCCCAAAAGGGAGAAATGGAGAAGAGATTGCAGTGTGACCGTCCCCTATACGACGTGCTTTCTCTATCTCTGGTAAATACGTGCACCCTGACACATCCCCCAAAATAAAAATCCTTCAAGGGCTCTTCACTTCCTTGGAGGTTTCAGACAATCTCCTTGTGACCCAGCACCTAAAGTTCCTGTAGTCTGGAACGTACCAGGCACTTTAGGCTTGGGGGCCTTTGGTGAAGCGAATCCCAGCTGGGGAGAGAGCAGTCCACAAGGCCTTCCTGAAACTGAGAGGATACACAGGGCACTGGGAACCTTTTTTCCTTCCAGGAAAACAAGGCATTCCACCAATCAAGAAACTGGCTTTAGAAGGCCAATTTGAAACAAGATTCATGTCCTTTCCTCCCAACCCCCCTCCCCAACGGCCATGGCAACTCTCCCCCAAGATGCAGAATCAACGTGCCCAGGAAAAGCCAGCAGACATGTCGTCGAACAAAATCGCACCAGAACAAAAACTGGGCCCAACGAGTGACCCTGCGTTTCATAATCAGCATGCTAAACTCCAACCCCCGTCCCCCCAAACATGTCAGGAAGGGCTGCGGAAAAAAGATGTCCCTTTAATAAAACGTTATCAACATATATCGTACACAAACTACAATGTATCATAATTACTTTTTTTTTTTCCTCTCTTAATTCAGAACCAGACTACAAGGTAAGAAAAAACACAGAAACAGCTACAATGTTCCCAATAATCCGCACAAGGTCTTTTTTCAGGCAGATGATATCTCACATAATATGATATACATGGATCAGAAAGGGGAGGCAATAAAACAAAGACCAGCTACGGGGGAGGGAGGGGGGAGGAGAGGGAGTGTAAATGTACAAAGAATTCGAGTGTCTTCCAGGGCAAGACACAGAGGTTTCGATGGGGGGGCGGGGTGAGGCCAGGGAGGCCACAGTCACCCCTCCGGGGAGGGGAACAGGCTCCACCATCAGGTTTGTCGGTTTTTGAAAATAAAAACAGGATCGGAGACAGCTTGTCTGTTTGGTTGTTGGTGTTCCCCACCCCCCACGGTGACTTCGAAGTCTTTCCATCCGGTTCCAAGCATATACAGAGCATTTCTGGGCAATATCCCATCTTTTAAAAAAGAAGGACGAATAAAGAGAAACAACGTAAGAAAAGCAAAACTCCAGCCCCCCTGCCCATGCACACGATGGCGACGCTGCTGCTGCTGCTGCCAGGACCACGGGACCGTAAAGCGGAGGTCAGCATCCATGTCCCAGGTCATAGCCATCCTGTTGGTGGCAGCCTCTCCTCTCTGCACCAGGCTACCACCCAGCTGGCAGGATTCTCGCTGGGAAGACTGGGGTGGGGGCTGAGGAAGGGCTGGAGAGGCAGGGAGGCCAGGGAAGGGAGAGGTCCAGAAGAGAGAGGAGGAAGCAGTCCTGGGGACACAGTGCAGGCCGCCCGGTCACAGACAGGTCTCAGCTCCGGCGGAATCCAGTAAGTGGGGTCGGGTGGCCCAGCCCCTCCAGCCATGAGATGGGGAGCGAGGTCCTGGGGTCTGCGTGTGCTACTGCCATTTTCAAAGCAAAACAGGTTCTAGCCCCGCCCGCATCTGTCACACCAACCAAAAACCCCAGGTAAAAAAGGGTGACTTCCTTTCTTTTCAAAAAAGGCTTTGTGAAAGAAACCACCAATTGTAAACTGTCCAGTTTATTATTATTTTTAGATGGCTACAAAGACAGTGTGAGACCTCACACCTAGACTAGCTTTTTTGGTGGAAGGGCTTGGGTACAGACAGACAGCAGGGCTTGTGGGATTTTGTTTGTTTGTTTTTTTTTGCCTTTTTTCTTTCATTTTTTTTTTTTTAAAGAAGAAAACAAAGGTTGATTAGGGTGGAGTGGGGGGCTTACTAGAAGCTTCCATTTTTAAAAATTTCCCCCCAAGCCCCCCCCAGAAAAAAAAATCCCAACAACAATAAAACCCCAAACAAACAAAAAATAACAACAAAAAAGTGTCATGTACAGAAAAGGTCCTTGGGGGGGAGGGCAAGGGGTAGGATTTTTCTGGTCATTGACCTGAAATATATTTTTCTTTTGAGTTTTGTCCTTCATGTTTTATGGAATAAAAAGTTCGGCCTTTTTATTGCATGAAACTAAAATTGGGAGAGGTGAGTGGAAGGGGAGGAGGGCGAGGTTGAGAGGAGCGGGAGATGCCCTCCCCCAGCTCCTGGTAATGACACCTCACTTCTTCTTGCATAATTTCTGGCATCTTCCTGCCTGCAATGCCGGCTCTCTCAGCGTCTCGGAGGAGGGGGAATCACACACTCATCGTCATGCTTGGAGAATACTGGAAGGGGAAGAGCAGAGACGGGGGCGGTGTGAGGGCCCGCTGCGGGGAGGCCCGTGAAGGCTGACTGCACACAGACAAACAGGACCAGTCCCGGGGTGTGGCTGGGCTGAGGGGCACGTGATGGCATTGGGTGAGCAAGGCTAGCATGAGGACAAGGACGGGGGGGACAAGGAGCCACCTCTTGGTCACAGCCTATGACCATCTGCCAGGAACTACGTACGGCAGCCCATACGGCTCCCTCCCCTCTCTGAATCACCCCTTTTTGTAGCCCCAGCCCTCCCCCGGGACAGGGCCAGTGGCTTTCCTGGAGTGGGAAACTGGGACTGCGAGGAAGTAGGGTTTGATGACTCAGACCACAGCCAGGGTGCCCTGGGGCTGGGGGGTTCTCAGAAGCCAGTCAACTAGAACACTGTTCTTTTCAAATGAGACTGGACACAGAAGCCCACTGTGGCTGTGGCCAGCCAGCTGCCCCTCCCTGGACACCATCGCCACATGAACCTTCCTCCCCAGGACAGACAGAAATGAACCCCCAGGGCAGTGCCACCCTGGACCCTCTCAGTGGAGGGGTTCTGCAACCATGACAACTGAGTGCTGGAGGCATCAGCCCGCCCCCAGGAGAATGTTCCAGTAGGACTCCGGCAGCGGCCAGCGCCTCTAGCCGCACAAGGCAGCCCCGAGGTCCCACAGCTTATTAGAGTGGCCAGGCCCCAGAGGGCAACATGAGGCCCTAGGGAGGGGAGCAGGCTGCAGTGGTGGGTGGGGGCTTACATTGTCGTTCTGAAAGGAGTGGAGGAAGTTCCCCCCTAGCTCGCCATCGTCCCGAGGGGTGCCTGGAGGATTGCTAATGCCACTTATGTTGTTGGGAGAATTCTGCAAGAAAAGGAGAGGGGGTGAGCCCATGTCCCCTGCTCACAGGGATGGAGGCTGTCAGGGAGGAGCCTTCAAGGGCATACTCACTTTTGGAAGTCCATCTATGTCACCTGACCCTGGAAAGGAACAAGAACCCCACTCAGTTTTTGCTCATTCTCTGGGGGAGGGTTCCCAGAGCTGAGGAGGCTCCTTCCCTCCTTACACCCTTCTAACCAAACCCCAAGAACTCTCTTTTCTTTCCGATAGTTTCCCCCCCCTAGCCCTGCAAAGATTTTTGGTATAGGGTATGTGCATTGATCAGACAGACAGACAGACACAAAGCAAAAGAACTACCCCCTAGGGGGGTGGCCATGCTGCAATCCCTTCTCCTCCATTCTCCTCTCAGGATTTTGGGCATGCACACACACAGGCCCAGCCTGAGTTTTAAGCCACTGGGCCTGCAACTCACACCGCAGTCAGCCACATGGGAGTCCAGAGATAACCATTAGGCCATCTGCTGGTCCCTTCCCATGAACTTTCTGTCCAGGCAAGGATCCTAATCTTGGGACCTTCCCACGTATAGGCAAGACCAGGGCTAGAACCCATGCGGAGCTCGGAGCTAGGCTGGGAGCAGGCTAACTGGGAGGGGTGGTGGCGGTGGCAGCTTACCTAATGATCCATTCATGTGGTGGGGCTCCATGCCGCCCATGCCGCCCATCGGGCCGTCAGAGCCAGGACCCATCGGGAACTGCGGGAGAAGCATAACATGGTGGCTCAGCAGCCTGCCACGGCACCCTCATGGGTGCCCATGCCAGTGCGTCTGCCACCAGAGCTGCCAGGGCACCTTCAGGGCCCAGGTGCTGGGCTTGGGTGCAGCAGGGTCCTGCACGAGGGGAGCCCCATGCAGGTGGGTTTGACTTTGCATGCCCCCATGTGGTGCCTGGAGACTGGACCAGGCTGCTTGCCTGGGCCCTCGGCGCTCAGAGCAAACTCATTCCTGAGCACCAGGCGAGGGAACCAACCCAGAGAGGACCCAGTCTGAGCTTCCAGGCCCAGCTCAGGCCCTCCCATCCACCGGGGTAGAGGTTCTGACCCACCAGTCAGAGCCTCACACAGACAGGGCCTGACCCCACCAGGCCAGGAACCAAGACAGTTTTCTGCCTGCAGGTTACAGATAAGAAAACAGAAGCCCAGTGTGGGCAGAGCTTTGCCTGAGGCCCCCCAAGCTGAGAGACAGAGGCGCTAGGACTAGAACGCAGCAGCCTGGCCTGGAACCGGAGCATCAGTCTTTTCCAAGCTCTCCCTTAGAAAAGACACCTGGGGCGGAAGGCAGGACAGTGGGGCTGCTGAAGGTCAAGGAAGGGGAGCCAGGATCTGGCCAGCTCAGGGGCACCACAGCGGGGGCTGCGGTACATGGTGGAGGGAGGTCACTAACGAAGCTCTGAACAGAAGTGATGGCACAGACAGACCCTGAGCTCAGAAATGGAATCGATTCTACTCCCCCGCACCTCCCCGGACTGTCTGGAACCGTCAGACACAGCTCAGAAAGAAAGTAGCCGAAGGCCAGAGAGGTCACATCCCATGGCTACGAGTCACAGCTGGGGAGGGGTGGCTGAGCCCGGGCTGGACAGCTGAGGCCCTGAGAGGCAGATCAGGTATTGGGTAGGAAGGAAACAGGGGTGGGGGGATGGAAGACTACGTGGCATCTGGCCTAGGCTGCAGGCGGAGGACAGAGCTGAGTCATGCCTGAGCATCACCCAGAGGAGCACAGATACCCAACCACTCCACAGGACAGAGGGGCAGAGTTCCAAAGGACCTGGAGGTGAAACCTGGCTGCGGCTTCAGATGGAGGCAGAGAAATCAAAACAGGACAGCTCCACGTAAGAGGAGGCAGAATCCGGGCAGGCAGAGTCACGAAAGCCATTCTAGGCACGGGTCCTAAGTGAAGGCTCAGCAGCCAGTGGCAGCACAGAGAACCAGGCTGTAGGGTAGGGCTGGGCCGCGAGCCACCCACCCACCCACACGAGGAGTGCAGCATCTCTGTCTCCCTAGGGCACATCTCAGGCTTCAGGACACACGGAGCCATCTGGCAACAAATTTCATGCCTGTTAACCCAAGTGACATGAGGAGGAGAGGGACCGACTTTCCAGAAAGCCAACCTAGAACACAGCTAAACCAGACCAGAAATATCCCCACATACAGTATAAAATAGAACCATGCACATGTGTTACCGCTTCAACATAAACTTGTCATTACCGAACATAAACACATAAAAACAGGTATTTGCTTGACATTAGAAACTACTGCATGTTATTTGAACGGTTTTGAGATATAATTCACATACCATACAATGAATCCACTTAAAGTACACATTCAGTGATTTTTAGCATATTTATGGGGTGTAGGTATCCATTATCACATCAATTTTAGAACATTTTGGTCACCCAAAAAAGAAATCCCATACCCATTAGCAGTTACACCCCAGTCCCCTCCAACCCCAGACCACTAACCTATTATGTCTCTATACATTTGCCTATTTGGAACACTTCAGATACATGGAATCATATGACTCTTCGTCTGGCTCTTTTGCGTAGCATGTTTTAACGGTTCATCTACATTGTTGAATGAATAAATCAGCCCGTCATTCCTTCTGTGAACAAGGACTTCGCTGCATGGATATACCACATCTGACTTACTCATCAGTTGATGGGGCATTCGGGTTGCTTCCACTTTTTGGCTATTTTGATTAATTGTGGATATTTCATTCATGTGCAAGTTGCTGTGTGGGTTATATTTTCACTTCTCTGGGGTACCGAGACTGGACTCGCCGGGTCACATGGTAACTCTGTTTTACCTTCTAAGGAAACATCAGACTGCTTTCCAAAGCAGATGGACCATTTTACATTCCCGTCAGTAATGTATGCAGGGCTCCGATTTCTCCACATCCTCTCCAGCACCTCTTCATCCACTCCAACAGTGGTCATTTATCTGTCTCCTTGACTAGAGCCATGGAGTGGGTGTGCAGTGGGACCTCACTGTGGTTTGACTTGCATCTCCTAATGACTAATGACGCTGAGCATCTTTCCATGTGCTTCCTGGCTATTAGTTCGTCTCTGGAGAAACGTCTATTCAGACCCTTGTCCTATTTTTTTTTTCTTTCTATTTTTTAATTGGACTATTTTCTTATTGTTGAGTTGTAAGAATCCTTTGTATAATTTGGATTCAAGTCTCTTAGCGGATTAATGATCTGCAAATATTTTCTCCATTCTGTGGGTTGTCTTACTTTCTTCATGGTCCTTCGAAGCACAAACACTACATTTTGACAAAGTCTCTACTGTTTGCTTTTGTTGCTTGTGCTGTTGGTGTCACATTTTAAGAGAACTTTGCTTCTCCTAGGTCACGGAAATTTACTCCTGTGTTTTCTTCTAAGGGCTTTATAGGCTTAGCCCTGACATTTGGGTGTGTGATTTACTGTGAGCTACTTTTTTTGTGAACAGGTGTAATGAAGTAGTCCAATTTCATTCATTTGCATGTGGCTAGCTAGCTGTCCCAATGCATTTATTTTGTCAATACATTTATTTTGTATTACTTACTTTTCTAATACATAAACACTATTACTTAAACAAGAATAGGATTAGTCAGCAGTAGCGATCAATAATTAGACTAGTTAAATAAGTGAGAAAAATAAATTTTTTTAAAAGAAATTTTTTGCTCTAGAGCACACGTGCTCACCAGAGAGAGACAGAAAGCAAAAACTCATCCCCGAGGGGGGGATGGCCATACTACAATCCCTTATCCTCTATTCGCTTCTTGGGATTTGGGGTATGCACACACACATACATATGTGCCCAGCGTAAGTTTCAAGATGCCAGGTCTGGGACTCAATTTTATGTTTTCATTCTCCAATACAGTCATTTAATAATAGTCTATTGGCTATTTATTTATTTATTTTGGAGAGATTATTGCTACAGGGCGTGTGCACTTGCCAGAGAGACAGAAAGCGAGAAATCACCCTGGCTACGCTGCAATCCCTTCTCCTCCATTCTCCTCTTGGGATCGTGGGCACACATGCCCAGCTTGAGTTTAAGCCACCGGGCCCGGGACTCAAACCGCAGTAGACCACATAGGAGTCCAGGGACATAGCCATTATGCCAACTGCTGGTCCCAGCTATTTAAACTTGGTAGGCTATATCACTGTGTATTCCTATACATAAATGTCAAATTTTTAATAAGAATTTTAAATTTGATTTAATGTATTCATTCATTTATTTTGACGAGAGAGAGAGAGGGAAAAGAGAGAGAGAGAGAAGGAAAGTGAGAAAGCAAGCCACCAGGTCTGGGACTTGAACTGTCATCAGCCATGTGAGAGTGTCCAGTGCTTTAACCACCACACCACCTGCTGGTCCCCCATAAATATAGATTTAATTTTTAAAAAGAACATAAATAATAACAAGACTAATTAAACAAACATGACTTTATTTATTTGCTTCCTTGCTTGCCAAAAGGCACATTTGCTCACTGGAGACTAGAGGGAGGTGTGGACATACCGCAATCCCCTTTCCTCCACTTCTCCATTCTGCTGGGATTTTGCACATGCACCTGCACCTGGTGTGTTTTTCAAGCTGCTAAGGCTGAGAACTGAATCCACCCTATCTTTAATTTAAAGGGGTTGGCTTTGTGGCCTGGTAGTTTGGGCAGTCAGATCCTATAGGCTGACTATGTAGTTCAAACCCCAGCCCCATCTGCTGGAAAAACATGCAGCACACATGTGCACGTGTGTCCCAAATCCTGACATAGTGGAGACATTGGGGACAAAGGATTATGGTGTGACCATGCCCTGTTAGGGGATGCTTTGTCCCCTTCTCTCTCTCTGGGGAGTGCGTGCACCCTTCCAAATTTAAAAAAAAAAAAAAGAAAAAAAAGGGACCTGCTTCTTTCTGCGCCATGATTCAGTGGGATGTTTCTGCTCTGCTTCCTGTTCTATTATTACATCCTCTGAGCTGCCCTCAGTCCTTAGGAGACATCCTGTTTTATGCAGGTGTAAAACTGGGTATCATCAAATGTCAAGTTCCCTTGCAGCTCTGTTCTTACCAGTCCACATTACCCCCAGCCCAGGTGTCACTCCAACAGGTAACACCAAACTAAATACCTTCTGTACAAAGATGCCTGCACGGGGAGCACTTGGGATTTTACCTGTTAATAAGCAAAGGTTTTTGGACTTATAGGAATTCATCTCCAGCTCTCCAAAGAATCCATCTACTTTCTGCCTACAGGCTGGCTTTGGTAGATCCAAGTCAGGGTCTTTGCATCGACAAATTCGTCACATGGGCTATCCCTGTCTAAGATGGCCATCTATTATTATTTTTTTTTTAAGATTTTTTTCTAAAAGGCTTGTGCATTCACCAGAGAGAGAAGGAAAGTGAGAAATGACCCCCTGGTGGGGGGGCTGACCACACCATAATCCCTTCTCTTCTAGTCTCTTCCTGGGATTTTGGTCGTGCATGTACACACATCCAACGTGATTTTCAAGCTGCCAGGCTGGGAATTAGAACCATAGTTGGCCGTGTGGGAGTCCAGCGCCTTAACCACCATACTACCTGCTGCCCCCCAAAGTTACAGCTCTATGATGGAACTGAGGAAGTCCTGTTTAATTTGTCTACCCTTTCTGGTGACATTCTTCTCAATTCTCAAGTAATCCCATTTCTAAAAACTGAAATCTTTTTTTTTTTTTTTGCTATGAGGTTTTGCTGTAACCTCCATGTGACACTGAACAGTTCAAGCGTACGTGGGTCAGTCCCATCCATGCCCCCTGTGGTCTCAGGAAGAATAATTTGTTTTCAGGAAACAGTGTGTGTATTTATATATGTATGTATTTTTTTCTAATTTCTTTCTCCATTCTCACCTCGATGTATTTCTAAATTAGAGATGGACATCCTTCTTGTCTAACACTTGGAAAAAAATAGGGGTTTTTATGGCAAGCCAACAGTAACATCTTTCCAATGGCTAGTCATAATGAGAGTTATTTTGTGGGCAAATGACTCTAAAGTCAAAAATCTCATTAAGTGCTTCTGTATTTTTGGGGGGCGGGGGGGGAAAGAGATTTTTGTTATAGGGCATGTGCACTTGCCAGAGAGATAGAAAGTGAGAAATCACCC